AGCCCTCGAGCCTGATACTCCTGGGGGAAGGACCACGACGACGGCGACGACGGAGGGCGAGGAAAGGAGGAGGAGGAAGAAGAGGAGGACGAGGAGGACGAGGAGGAGGAGGAAGAGGAGGACGAGGGGGAGGAGGAGGACCAGTGTAAACCAAAGAGTCATCAACGATGTTGGCATAAAACCTCCCTCCAAGCTCCCTCTTCATAGGCCACTACAAGGGTTCATGTCTACTGAGGAAACTGCCTCGTTGGAAGACAACCGTTTAAAGACCCTGAAGCATACCAAAATATTATTTTCGGGACTCCAACGCCACGGATCATCCTGACTGTTGCGTCTCGACGATCCTGAATCGTGCCAGAACGCCATTCTTGGGATTTCAACACCGCGAATCATAGTAACTGCTGCACCCTCATAATCATGAATGTGTTCCAAACACAAGTTCTGGTACGTTGACAATGGGACGCCGTGAAGCTCTTAAATTTGAGACAGGGGATGTACGCGGCGCTTAGGCGAGAGCCACATGTTGAAAGGGAGCCGCCCTCAATCCGTGCAACTTTTGCGAATTTGTAAAAATAAGGTTCGTGTCGCTAAGGCGGGGTCCACATTTTGAAAACGACCCGCCCTGAATCCGTGAAACTCTTGAAGCTCCGAGTCACCGACCGACTCGCGCTGAAGTGCCCGCTCGTCCACGCGGCCCGCGAGACTCGCTGGGAAGTGGCCAGTGATCAGCGCCGCCGCGGCCGCGGTCGCGCCAGACTTGCTGGTCGCTGCGCGCGCGAGCCAGCGCGCGCTAGCTCGGTGCGGCTGCAGCGATGCGCCAGCCAGCGCCAAACAGTCGTCGAAATCGCCGCCGCATGGGTTTTGCAGACGAGTTGCGGTTGGGTGGCTGGGATGATGGCGCGAGCAGTGGGGTTGACAACTCACTGCGAAGACATAATACTCGCACCGCGTAGGTTCTCATTTCTGGAACAACACAGATTTGGATCGACCCCCCACCCGTGTCTGGGGTTATCGGCCCCGTCCGGTTATTGCCACATCGTTCATTCTATGTATGAGCTCGTGCCATCTTTGCAGGGCCGGGCGTGCCCCCCCCCGCCGCTCTTTTCTGCACAAAGCACTGCGCGCGCATGCGTTGATCAGAGTTTGGACAAACATCCATTGCGACAAAGTCTAGCGCAGTACGCGCGCGCGCGTCGTCGCGCGTGCGCGCCGAACCCCCTCGAAGCCTTGGGCGTCGCGAGGATTTCAAACTCGGGCGCCCCGAACCACGTGAAAGCACATGCTGTTGCGCCGTGATTTTTTCAAGGACAGGTCTTCGCGCGATCTCTTGCGAATTCCTCGGCAAGCCATTGCTTCCTGTTCGACATTTGCACCGACTGCAGCCAAATGGCCTCTCGCGCGCGCGTCGAAATCATTCGAGCGCCCTCGCGCATGTGCTGACGGGGCGCGATCCTGTCAAATAGTGCCACGCGGGCCACTCGCGCGCGTCGGCCGCGCGCGCGTCGAAATCTTGCCGGCGCTGTCGTCGCCGACGCGAGGGCGCCGTCGTCGTCGTCGGCGCGGGTGGCATCAGCGCCGTTGTCTGGCGTGATTGCTTGGCGTGACAGTGCGTTCCTCGTGTTTCTTCCTCTGCCCGGGTCGCCGGCTCGCATTGATGTGTCCGCGCGTCAGCGCGGTCTGCCAGACGCCCTGGGGAATGCCGCGTGGCCGGCGCCACCGCGGCCGCGTCGGTCGAGCCAGGTTAGCTGGCCGCTTCGCGCGAGAGCCTGCGCGCGGTAGCGAGGCCGCAGCGGCGCGCCAGCCAGCGCCGCGCAGTCGCGGGAGGCTGTGCCGCGTGGGTTTTGCAAGCCAAGTTGCGAGTGGGTGGGTGGGTGGGGTGATTGCGAGAGCAGTAGAGATGGCAATTTCATGTTCGGCAGGGTGAAATGCGCCGCGTAAATTCCTTCTTGAAGAGGTATTAGGATCTACCCCGGATCAGTAGCTCCCCCCTGGGGATGTGCAGACCGCGTCTGATTCTGCAAAATCGTCAATGCTAGATGTGAGTTCGTGTCATCCCAGGCAGGCCGTTATCGGTTCCCTCGTCAATTTCGCCAGGATTTTATGCTTGCGTACTCGTCTATCACAGGCTTTCAGCCTTTGAGAATCCCTTGCAACAGATGGGGCGATGTGCACGCGCGCGCGTTGTCGCGCGCGCGTGCCGAGAACCTCTTGGATTTCGCGCGGGTTTCAACGTCGAGTGGCCCGAAAACATATAAAACGCATGGTTGCGCATGGCAGATTTTCACGGAGCGCACGCGCCTGCGCCTTTGCGCATGCTGAAGGAACCGTTTGCTTTTTCAACATTTGCCTTTACAGGAAAGCGCTATCACGTGGGCCCCTCGCGCGCGCGCGTCGAAAACGTACGAGCGCCCCTGCGCGCGCGCTGTCGCAGGAGCCCCCCGCGTCAGACGGGGCGGCGCGCGCGCGCGTGGTTGCGCGCGCGCCGAAATCACAGAGGTTGCGCGTGCATTGCAGACTCGTGTGCCCCGAACACAGACGCGCGGCGTTGCCGAGCAGGCCTCCTTCGCGTCGCATGTCGAGATCATTGGAACGCCTTTGCGCGCGTGCTGGCGGGGCGCGATCCGCGTCGAATAGCGCCGCGCGGGCTTCTCGCGCGTCGGCCGCGCGCGCATGTCGGGCTCCTTTCGAAACCTTCATCGCCAACGCGAGGGCGCCGTCGTCGTCGTCGGCTTGATCAGCATCGGCGCCGCCGCTGGCCTTGCCGTCGTCGTTGTCGCCATCCTTTCCAGCGTCGCTACTGTCATCTTCGCGTCTACCGTTGTCGACGTTGCCGTGGTGCCGCGCCCGCCCGAGTCGCCGACTCGCACCGATATGCCTGGCGGCCAGCGCCGCCGCGGCCGCGTCGGCCCGAACTAGGTGGCCTCTGCGTCTGCGAGCATGCGCGGGCTTGCGCGGCCGCCTAGATGCACCAGCCAAAGCCAAGCGCAGATCGCAATTGCCGCCGCGCGGGTTTTGCAGACCACCAAGTCGCGGGTGGGTGGGCGGCATGATTGCGCGGGCAGTTGATTTGACATGTTCAAGTTTGGCATGGTGAATAGCACCGCGCAGATTGCGCGTCATAGCTCGCAGACCATGGTCTGCGCCGCATAGGTTGCGCACATCGGTTGCGCCGCGTGGACTGCGCGACGCATGTTGCACTGCGTAGGTTTCGCCGCGGCGGTTGTTTCTTGCATATGCAGAAGAATTGTGCGCCATATTATGGTTCCCCCTCCCCATCGCATCTAACCGCTTACATTTCCGCATTGCATTGTGCGCGCGATTCTGCTCCATTGTCCACCTTGAGTTTGCGTCGTCCTTAGTGCAAGATATTGCGCGCGCACTCGCTTCTCAAACATCATGCGTCTCCAAGAACCCCAGGGCAACGCTACCAAAACACGCGCGCAGGGCGAAGCGCGCGCGCGTCGTCGCGCGCGCTCCAGAATCATTAGTTACCATCGGACTCGCGAGGATTGTAACATCGAATGCCCCAGAAACATTTTAAACACACAGCGCATGTGTTTTTCTTGCTGCGAGGATTTGCGCGTCAAAAGCCCGCGCTCGCGCTCATGCAGATTCTTGCGAAAACCATACTTCCTTAACATCTTCATGACCTGCTACCAACGGGCCTCGCGCGCGCGTCGAAATCTCTCGAGCGACGTTGCGCGCGTGCTGTCGCGAGAACCCCTTGAAAACAAAAGGGCGAAGTGCGCGCGCGTGTCAAATTTAAACGAGAAGCAATAGGTTGTCAGTGTTTCAAACACGGGTGCCCCGAAAACAAATGCAAACATATGGGTTGGCAGAATCAGTTCAGAGACCAAGGCTCGCGCTCTTGCGAGTTTTCGAGGAAGTCATTTTCCTTTTATGAGATATGATCTACGATTTATGATATATATATATATATATATATATATATAAATATATATATAAAAAAGTTAAAAGCAAAAACAAGCAAAGTAGTGGAATGCCATTAAATGGGCCTCGCGCGCGCGTCGAAATCGTTCGAACGCCCTTGCGCGCGCGCGTTCGCGAGAAAACTTCCAAACGAAAGCGCGGGCGGAACGAAGTGCGCGCGCGCATTGTCGCACTCGCGTGCCAAAACAATCAAAAACCAGGAATCCAAAACCGAGTGCCTCGGGCCCGTGTAAACCGCAGGGTTTTACAGCATTGCAAACATGTGCTCGCGCTCCTGCGGATTCTCTTAAGACACCATGCGTTTGTCACCATTCTGAATAAGTTTTGCCAAACCGGCCTTTCGCGCCGCATGTCGACGTCAGTCAAATGCTGTTGCGCTCGTGCCGGGGGGGCGCGATCCGCGTCAAACAGTGCCATGCGGGCCTCTCTCGCGCGACGGCCGCGCGCGCGCGCAACTCCGTCCAAAACCATCATCGCCGACGCAAGGATGTCTTCATCGCTATCGGCGGGCGTGATGGACATCGGCGCCGCCGCTGGCCTTGCCGTCGTCGTGGCCGCCATCGTCGCCAGCGTTGCTATCGCTGTGTTGTCTACCGTCGTCGACGTCGCCATGATATCACGCCTGCCCAAGTGGCCGTCTCGCATTGAAGCGCCCGCTGAGAAGCGCCCAGAGGTCATTGTCGCCGCGGCCGCGTCGGTCGCGCTGAAGTAGCTGGCCGCTGCGCGCGTGAGCAGTCGCGGGCTGGCGCGGCCACGGAGGTGCACTGGCCGACGCCGAGCACTCATCGCAGTCGCCGCCGCATGTGTTTCACGAAACAAGTTTCGGGCAGGTGGATGGGATGATTGCGTGAGCAGTGGAGTTGATAACTGCGAGTTCCACAAATGAGTTCTCCTTCCGAAATAAGCATGGCCCCCCCTCCCCCCCGGGGTCCACGGCCACCTTTCTCGCATTGCAATTTGCGTGTGATTCTGCCCCATCGTCCATCATAGGTATGAATTCATGCTGGCCTAGGCAGGCCGTTGTCGCCCCCTCCCTTCGAATTCTGCAACAAGTAGAATGCGCGCGCGTTCATCTATCGCGAGTCATCAGTTTCCAGAGACCCTTGGCAACAGATGGGGCGCATTGCTCACGCGCGCGTCGTCGCGCGCACATGCCAGAATCACTCAACAAGTTTCGGTTTTGTAAGGATTGCGCAACCGAGTGCCGCGAAAACATATAGAACATTGGTTTCGCAATCTATTTTCCAGAAAACAAGTCTGCGCGCGCGATCTTGCGAATTTTTGAGGCTGCCGTGCGTTTGCTAGCATTTCACCCGCGGCAGCCAAACTGGCTTCTCGCGCGCGCATGTCGAAATCGCTCGAACACCCTTCCGCGCTCGTTGTCGCAAGACGCAGAAACCAAAACGAAGTGCACGCGCGCGCGTAGTTGCGCGCGCGTGCCGGAATCTTTCAGACACCGTGGGCATCGCAGGGGTTGAAAACAACGAGTGTCCCGCTAATTTTTGAAATCGCATGGCTTTGCAACGCCATTTTCCAAACAGGCTTGCGCTCGCGGTCTTGCGGATTCTTGAGAAAACCTGAGTTTTTTGTGTACAACGTATAAAGAAACGTTTGCATCGCATTTTCCCAGGCAGTTTTTTCGCGCCGCATGTCGAGCTCATCCGAATCCTCTCGCGGGCGTGCTGGGGGTGGGGTGGGGTGGGGCGGGGGTGGGCGGGGCGCGATCCGCGTCGAACAATGCCGCGCGGGCCGCTCTCTCGCGACGGCCGCGCGCGCGCGTGGAACTCCGTCCAGCACCTTCGTCGCCGACGCGAGGATGCCGTCGTCGTTATCGGCGGGCGTGATCGACATCGGCGCCGCTACTGGCCTTGCCGTCGTCGTCGCCACCATCGTCACCATCATCGCTACTGGCGCAGTCGTCTGCGCCGTTGTCGGCGTCGCCATGGTGCCGCGCCCGCCCGAGCCCCGTTGTTGAAGTGCCCGCTGGGAAGTGCCCGACGGTCAGCGCCGCAGCGGTCGCGTCGGTCGCGCCGCGCTAGCTTGCCGCGCGCGAGCAGGCGCGGGCTAGCGCGACCGCAGATGCACCAGCCAACGCCGAGCAGTCATCGCAATCGCTGTCTCGCGGGTTTGGCAAACGTAGTTGCGGGTGGGTGAGTGGGGTTTTTGCAAGAGCGTGCAACTTGTGAAAGTGTCCGTTAAACATCAATTGCAGCACATTGATGCACCGCGTAGATTCTCTTCTCTAGAAGAGCAGCAGAGTCTACCCCCCTCGATTGATCGTCCCCCCAGGAATGTGTAACTTACTTATGACTCTACCCCGTCGCCCATTGATGTACGAATTCGCGCAATCGCAGCCGAGCCGGCGCCCCCCCTTCACCCTCTGCGGAATAATTATGCGTGCGCGCGTTCGCGTATCAAAATCACCAGTTTTTCAAGGACCCTTTGCAGCAGATGGGGCGAAGTGCGCGCGCGCGGCGTCGCGCGCGCATGCGGAACTTTCATAGGCGCCTTAAGTTTCGTAAGGATTTGTCCTCACCAAATCGAGTCTCGCAAACACATAGAAGCACGTGGTTTCGCATCGAGGGTTTTCAAACAAAACATGCATGCGCTCGCGCTCTTGCAGATTTTAGAGAAACCATCGGTTTTCCAGCATGCCCATAGCATGCTACCAAACGGCCCCCCTCGCTCGCGCATGCCGAAATTGTTCGAACGCCCTTGCGCGCGCGCTGTCGCTAGACAGCCGTGCGCCCAAAGAGATGAAGTGCACGCGCGCGCGCGTCGTCGCGCGCGAATGCCGAAATCTTTCGAACGCCGTCGATTCCGCAAGGGTTTCAAAAACGATCGTCCCGAAAGATCTTGAACACATTTTTTGTTGCAACATCAGTTTTCAAAAACGCTTGCGCGCGCTCTTGCGAGTTCTGAGGGCAACAGTAGTTTGTTATTCTTATTTTTAACATGCATAAGTCATCGCAGACTGCCAGGCAGGCTTCTCGCGCCGCATGTCGAGCTCATCCGAGCGCCCTTGCGCGCGTGCTGGGGGCGTGGGGGTGGGGGGTGGGGTGGGGTGGGGTGGGGGGTGGGGTGGGTGTGGGGGCTGGGTCCGTCTCAGGGAATGCCATGTAGGCCACTCGCTCGCGTCGGCCGCGCGCGCATGTCGAACTCTTTCCAAAACCTTCATCGCCGACGCGAGGACATCGTCATCGTATCGGCGGGATTGATCGACGTCGGCGCCGCCGTTGGCCTTGCCGTCGTCGTCGCCGCCATCGTCGCCATCGTCGCTACTCGCATCGTCGTCTGCGCCGTTGTCGGCGTCGCCATCGTGCACCCGCCCACGTCACCGACTCGCATTGAAGTGCCCGCTGGGAAGTGCCCGACGGCCAGCGACGGTCAGCGCCGCGCGGCCGCGTCGGTCGCGCTGCGCTAGCTGGCCGTTGCGCGCGCATGCGTGCGTGGGCGAGCGCGGCTGCAGAGATGCACCAGTCAACGCCAAGCAGTCATCGCAATCGTTGTCGCGCGGGTTTGGCGAACCTAGTTGCGGGTGGGTGGGAGGGGGGATTGCGCGAGCAGTGGAGTTGACAAGCCCCTGCGAGCGTGGATGACTTTTGCTTATTTCAACTTAACGACTCCGGGGGGCGGGGGGGGGGGGGCTTATGCAAAACGCACGTGGTTCGGACCCGATGTCCATCCTACCCGTGGATTCATCTTATCCCGCTCCCGTCATCCTTTGCAACAGATGCTATACGCGCGCATTCGTTTATCGAAACTCATAAGTGTTTGAAGAGTCCATCGCAAAAGATGAGACGAAGTGCACGCGCGCGCGCGTCGTCGCGCGCGCCTGCCGAAATCATTCAAACACTTTAGTTTTCGGAAGGATTTCGAACTCGAGTGTCCCAAACACACACAGGGGTTCGCAACGCGGATGTTCAACATAAGCGTGCGCGTGCTGTTGCGAATTCGGGAAAACAGCCATGCGTTTTTCAACACTTTCATAAACTGCTACTAGACGGGCATCGCGCGCGCGTGTCGAAATCGTTCGAACGCCCTTGCGCGCGTGCTGGGGTGGCGCGATCCGTGTCACATGAATAGTGCCATGCGAGCCACTCTCGCGCGTCTGCCGCGCGCGAATTTCAAACTTTTAAACACCTTCACCACCGACGCGAAGACGCCGTCATCGTCGTCGGCGTGATCAGCATCGGCGCCGTGACTGGCTGCCCCGTCGTCGCTCTCAGCATCGCCACCAGCATCGCTACTATCATCATCGTGTCTGCTGTTGTCGACGTTGCTGTGATACCGCGCCCGCCCAAGTCGCCGACTCGTCATTGACGTGCCCGCTGGGATGTGCCGAGCGGTCAGCGCCACCGCGTTCGCGTCGGTCGCGCCAAACTAGCTGGCCGTTGCGCGCGCGAGCATGCGCGGGCTAGCGCGGCTGCAGAGATGCACCAGCCAACACCCAGCGCTCATCGCAATCGCTTCCGCATGGGTTTTGCAAACCAAGTGGTGGGTGGGTGGGTGGGATGATTGCGCGAGCAGTGGAATTGTCAACCTCAAGCTCGGCAAGTGATCTGCACCACCTAAATTGCACCACGTAGATTCCACCATGTGGATTGCGCAACATATGTTGCATCGTATATTTAGTTTCCCATCTATTGCGCAACATAGATTGTCAGAAACACACTGTTTGGGGTCCACGTTGATTAACATGTTGTGTCATCAGCTGCTTCTGGAGAGTGTTTTCTATACCCGGGCGATCACGGGCGCTACCGGAAGGGATGGGGCGGGGGACCGGTAGTGTCACATTAACAAGAAACAAATCGGAAACCAGCACGAATCGTGACGTCATTTGGTGGAGGGGGGGTGCGGCCGGGGCCAATAATTGCCGTTATCGCGAAACACCAAAACGCCCGTCTGGATCGTTGGACTTCTCGGAAAACGACACAGGTTGAAAAGCCGGTCCCGAGGAAAGGGTCCAGACCTCTGGGGGTCGGCGCTGTGAACAAACACGACGTCGGGGACGGGGGTGGGGTCCACAACCGACCGAGGAAACCTGCGTGTCGGCCCGGACGCTGGCCGCTCCAAGTTGTCCGACGCGTGGGCCCCGGAGGTCCTGGACCACTTCCCCAGGGACAGCTTTTCGTCCTGGGTCGTTTGGTAACGGTGCCGACTCCCGCCGAAGTGCCCCAGTGGCGGAGAACGGCCCAAATCCTGCCCCTCCAATTTTTTCAGAGCGTCGGATCTCTGGGGGCTTCTGCTTGCTCGCTTGCCTGCTCGCCCTGGAGGTGCGGGGCCGTCTTCCTGCGCGGCGCCGCGGAAGATGGGGAGGTGGAGGCGCCAGCGGACGCGGGCCCTGGGGAGGCACGCGAGCGCGCGATCGAGCGCTTCCTCGGCGAGGCCCGGTTGGAGAGGGTCGAGCCGTGCGAGCCGGCAGAGCAGGAGGTTCAGAGGAGGAAAAGGTACCGATACCGCTACGGTTCGCCCGTTTCCGTCTTTTTTGGCTTCCTGGGAAGCCGTCGTCGCCACAGCTGGATTCGCCTCGACATTCTGGTCAGAACACACCCCGGGAGAGGTCTGGGGAATAACGGTATCGGAACCTTTTGGTTCCTTCAGAGGTGGCGTCTCTGTGCCAGCAGAGGACCGCCGTTCTCCACCGCCAGCGAATGGCCACCGCGCATCAGCCGCCTCTCTCGTGGTCGGTTCTAGAGGGTCTCGATCGCCTTTTCGATGATTGGCGCGTCGGCATCTTGGCATCGCTCGGACGTGTGTATTTTTCTTTCGGCGAGGACCATCGAGGAGCATCCTTGATCATCTGGCGAAAAAACCACGCACGAAACCCAAAAAAGCACAGGGAATGGACGTCCGAGCGATGGCCAGTGTCGCCTTCCCAGCCTCGGGGTACCTCCAGCGGCTGCGCCTCGCCGAGCCCTTTCCTGGTGAGCCCGGATCCTCCCGAAGTGCCGCCAGAGAGCCGAGCTGTGGCCCGAAAACCGTTCGGACCGGGGGCGACGTTGGAGGGCGGGTAGGCTCTTGGGGGGTATGCTCCGACCCCCCATCGCCCGTGGTCGGCAACACCCCAACATACTTATACTATATGTGCGTCGCCCCCCCAGGGGCGACGCGCGCGCCGAGAAATCTTATAGTATGTGCGTCGTGGCGTGCGCTTTCTGGCCACACCGCTCGGGAAACGATATACTACAAGATGGGTATACTATATGTTCGGGTCGGACGCGCGCCTCCAAGGAGGACATATAGTATTAGTATGTCCAGGTGCGTCCCACGTGGATCGCCGATGGGGGCCCGATGCCCGATGGCCGTCTCCCGCCCAGGCGGCGACGAGGCCCACTGGCATGCACGCCGCCCCCGGCCAGGCCCGGCCGGGGCCCGCAGGACGGGCCCGTCGAGGGACGGCGCCCGCGCACAGACCTCGTGGCCCCCCCGGGCGCGGTGGTCTCCCGGCGGTGGCGCCCGCCCCCGGGCTGCCCGGGGCCGCTCTTCGGGCGAAGAGAAATATGCACATGCACCGATCCTGACAACGTCCATCCTTGACCCAGGATCGGTGCATATGCCTTCCTGGCCAAGGTAGGAGGGCATATGCACCAATCCTGGGCTCAGGATGGGTCTGGCCAGAATCGGTGTATGTGCATAGTTCTTTTTCCTTTAGCTCTGGGGCGGTCCGGCTCTCTCTTGGAGCGCGCTCTTCGGCCGTCTCGGAGCCGTCTTGGACCTCTTCCAGGGCCGTCCTGGATTTCAAGCGCCCTCCTACTTCAAGAATCGATCTGCTCGTGCCGCGTGTTGTTTTTATTGTTCTCTTACTTTCTCCGCTTCTGCCTACTTTTTGTGTGTCCCTGGGCCACTTCAGGTTTGGATACCAGCGCCATTGCATAGTGGCCATCCCGTCCCAGGGGGCGGACCTCGGTGCGATCCTGAGAACGGCGCCTGCTCCGCCTACGCATCGCCGGTGCGACCCTCCGACCCCAACACCCAGACCGGGGCTCATTTCGATGCCCCCGATTCGATTCGATTCGATTTTGACGGCTTCCGATTCCGATTCGGTCCGATTTCGATGGCTTCCGATGCCGATTCGATTCGACCTCGGATTCCGATTGGGACCCCGATTTATTCATGCAGGCCTGCTAGCCTGTCGATCTCCGCCGATTCGACTTCTCCCAACTCGGCTGCCGATTTCCGCCGATCCGATTCGTCTCGATCGCCGATCCGGTTTAATCGATTTGATTCTGGGCTTCCCTGCCCTATCGACCAGACCCCTGGCATCGGGATTTTTTTCTACAGTGTGGACTCCTGGCAGTCCCGACCTTCTACCCGAGGCTGCGCCGTTTATTTTGGTCTTGGGGCCCAGGAGCGGGTCCTGGCGGCCGAAATTTGCGAAATGCATTTTATTTATTTTTTTTTTTCTCTCTCTCTCTCTCTCTCTCTCTCTCGCTCTCTCTGTATGTATACATATAAATGTGTGTATATATACATATATCCACATATAAACAAACAATATTTTTGTGGGCCCATGTGAGTGGCCTCCACCAATGGCCGTGGGCATCTCGCGTCGTTGCAGGGCTCCCAAGCTCGCGCCAGACAACTGAGTGCCATGGGAGAGTGGGTCTCAGACCCCCGGCGCCATGTCTTTTTCCTTCAGAGCTCGCTAGGGGGTTCTAACAGTGGTAACAAACAGGTCCACAGAAGAGCCCCACAGGGAGGACGGGGGAGCCCGCCTGGTCCGCAGCCGTTTCGCTGGAGACTTCCTCACAGTTTGTTCACTTCGCCCGTGGCAGCGGCACCAGCAGATCGATACCATGGCTTGCCCCTGTGTATAGAAAAGGGGAATCTGGCCAGATCGACCCGAAGTCGTGCCCCCTGCGTGAATGCCTGCGTGCGGGCGCACAGGAACGCGCGTAAGGTCAGTCCACACGGGCCCTCCCCGCAACATTCCTTCAGGAATCGGGCTCCCGCCTCGATGCCAGCTGCATTGTTTTGGTCTGGGCGGTCACGACGCCCGGCAAGAAGCGCGCGGGGGTGCACACGGCCGTGCTCTGCTGCTGTCAGGGTGCTCTGCCGGGGCAGCCATCCCGAGTTGTTTTTTGACGGCCCCGGGGGCCCCGTTGAGGGCCGCGAGGTGCCGAAGATTGCCCAAGGCCGTCCGCCGTGTTTCCCATCACGACGCGATAGGGGGTCTGGCGAGTCAGAGGGTGAATCACCTACCCCGCTTCCGCGTCCAGGCAAAACCAAGCCATACGCGCGCCTCCTCGTCAAGCAGCCTGACCGCTGCTGGGGCCACCCCACCTGTAGCTTGGTAGCGCTCCGTTCCCGTTTGTAAGCGAGGGAGGTCGAAAGCGAGGTAGGTTCGTGTGCCTATTTTGGAGGGAGGAGGAGGCCTCTCGAGGGCCCCAGGCGCTTGGAGGTCTCTAGAGACCCCCAGAACATTTCCAGACTTCCGAAGTGGGCCATAAGCGTTCAAATATCTCTATCCACGAGCCTCGAGGGAGAGGGTAGGGCTCATTTCGATCCGATCGATCCGATTCTACATCTTTTTTGGGCTGGCCCGATCCGATTTCATTTCGATATCCCGACCATCCTATGCGGCCCGATGCTCGTACTGCATCCTGGCGCGTCCGATTCGATTCGATTCCGACACCGTGCCGAAATGTCAGGTTCTATACATTTTTCGGTTCAGACTCGACTTTCCGAAACTCGGGTTTGCTGCCGCTTCACGCGGCTCCAGTGTAAATTATGGCTGTTCAGCTTTCGTGGGACGTCTGCAGCCGGAGCTCGCGTCAATTTTCCGATTGGGTGTCACCAGGTTCTGTCCTTGCGAAGGCCTTACGGTCGGTGCCGCCCACCCTGAAGGGGGTGGGACGACGACGAAGACGACGACGACGACGACGACGACGACGACGACGACGACGACGACGACGACGACGACGACGACGACGACGACGACAGCGGCGGCGGCGGCGGGAGCTCGCGTCAATTTTCAGATTGGGTGTGACTAGGGCCTGCTGCTTTTCAGATGGACCCGTCACGCAAGCTGGAGCCCCCCACATTCGAGGCTGCGCCGCCGCCAACCGCTGGCGGGCATGCGCTGCCTCTCCTTCGTCGTCTTCGTCGTCGTCGTCCTTCTCCTCCTCCTCCTCCTCCTCCTCCTCCTCCTCCTCCTCCTCCTCCTCCTCCTCCTCCTGGCGGCCTGCAGCAAACAAGAGTCCCCTTGAGTTGGGAAGCAGACGGATTTTCCGTTCGCTGTTTCTCTTTTTCTCCATTCGCGCGGTCTCATTGTGCTGCGCGGTGGACCATCAGGGGCAGCGTTAGGGGGGGCTAGGTGCAGGAGGGGATGTATCGGCGTCAGTCGCCCATCACCTCCGATAGGGGCCCGAGAGCTCGCCCTGCCCAGGAGCGTGCGGATTTGCTATCGGGGGCCTACCGCCGATCCATCGGCGACGTATCGCCGATTCCAGCTCGATCTTTCCGCGACGTATCGCCGATCCAGCTCGGATCATTAGCTCGGGCCTCCGGTGGCCGTGCGGAGCCGTGCCGGCACCCCTGGAACGCTCCCGGCGAGGCGCAGCCGCTGGAAGGCACCCCGGGCTGGACAGCTGCCGAGGAGCGACCCAACCGGCAGAGCAGCATGGCCGACCAGATCAGCCTGCCCCCCGACTCGAGCCCCGCGCCTCCCCCAGCAGAGAGGATGCACGGTCTCGTGTCGCGCGATTCGGCGGTTGAACGGGCCAGCGATGTGAGGCGGGCGGAGGAGCCCGTCCGAGCCGAAGATTCTGAGCTGAGGCCAGTCTCGGGCGGGGAAGGAGCCTGGTGTGTAGGCCCGCCGCGAAGCGACGCGGCGAGCTCGACGATGCACCAGTGCCCCTGTTCGGATGCAACTCCTGGGAGGTCAGATTTTGCCTCTGTCTTGGTCCGAATCCTTTTTGAACCCGCTTGGTTCGGCTGAATCCCGCTTAATCCAGCTTAAATCCGCCTTGCCCGGCTCAATCCCGCTTAATCCGGGGCCCAATCTGGCGTAACAGCCCCCCACTGGGGCTTGTTTCTCCTTACTCCTTCTGACGAAGACCTCCCAGTAGTTGTCTCCTAACCTTTGCCATTGCCCCAGCAGAGAGGACCCTGACGGTCGCGGAGGGCAAGTACCGGTGCTGCGAGTGCCGGAAGCTCTTCTGCGGCCCCGAGTTCGTGGAGACCAGGGCGATCAAAACGCCACAGCCGCGCCGACCTCGGTGTGGCGAGTCCCGGTCCCAGGGCTGGCGTACCCATCGGTCGTCGAAAGTAGGTACTCCTGGATCTCCAGATGCCAATCTATTTCAGGCGCTTTCCTTTTTCAAGTATCGACTGGTTTTCCATCTTTCTTCGTCTTCAGGGGGCGGGCGGAGTTTCAACCTACTCCCACCGCCTTCTGACTTCATGTTTCTACCCACTCCTTCCGACCAAAGGGTACCCCAACATGCTCGCGTCGCGAAACAACAAACACGACGGCCGTGCTTTTTCGCTATAGACGCTTCGGGTAACCCCACCAGCCAATCCAAAAACGATGCCCAGACGAGCTGCCTTGATCACGAACGTGGAGGAGCATGCAGCAGAGTACAGACAGGACGTCAGACCCCAACAGTGGGAAAATGGAGGAGGAATCGGAGGACGCGGTGAAGGAGGAGGAGGAAAAGGAGGTCTGGGTAGACGTCGCCGCCGACGCCCCGTACAGTGACGAGCACAAGTGCCATGAACGAGCAAGAATGTGTGCTGGTTCGCCATCATGAGGGCTACAAGCGCCGGAAATACCCGCAGTTGAACCGGGTCCCGGCGTGTTTCAAGACCTTCGGCCGGCCCGGCGAATCCTTGGTGTCGCTTGTCCGCAGCCTTGGCCATGATTTGGGTGATGCGCAGCGGAGTGGGTGCATATCAAATGCTTGGCGCCGGCTCCAGACCGCGCTCGCCAGGGGCAACGTGGCCATCCTGGCGAGCGCGGGTGACCTCATCCCACCATGAGGGTATACCGTGGCACGTGTGATCTTTTCATGTTCTTCGATTGGAGGTTGTAGTAGAAGGCGCACTGGCTTGCGCCGTCCGCCTGGGCTCCCCTTCCTTCCTGTCCCCCCCTGGTTGGGGGCCTCCGCTGCTGGCTGTCTTCCCCTTCTTCCTGGCTTCCTCCTCGCCCTCCCTCCTCCTCCGTCGCTCTTCTGCTTCTCCGCCACATCTCGGGGCTGTGGATCCCGCAGCGAGATAAGAGAGGTGTGTACATTAATCTGCCATTTGCGCTGCTCCGCGACGGCCCCAGGGCCCGTAGACGGCTACCGAGCCCCAAATGCTGTCCTCTGTTGTGCGGTTTTTTGTTGGTCCCGGGGCCCGAAGCTGGCCTCCGGGCGCCGCGGGCGTTCTCTGGTGCCGGACGATCCCCGCGCGCCTACCCCAGTGGACGCCCATTCCAAATTGGGATGAGTGCGGGGGTCGCGGCAGCCAGGGAGGAGGAGGAGGAGGAGGAGGAGGAGGAGGAGGAGGAGGAGGAGGAGGAGGAGGAGGAGGAGGAGGAGGAGGAGGAGGAGGAGGAGGAGGAGGAGGTGGAGGAGGAGAGGAGGAGGAGGAGGAGATGAGGAGGAGGGAGGAGGGGAGGAGGAGGAGGAGGAGGAGGAGGAGGAGGAGGAGGAGGAGGAGGAGGAGGAGGAGGAGGAGGAGATGAGGAGGAGGAGGAGGAGGAGGAGGAGGGAGGAGGAGGAGGAGGAGGGAGGAGGAGGAGGAGGAGGGGAGGGAGGAGGCGGAGGAGGAGGAGGAGGATGAGGAGGAGGAGGAGGAGGAGGGGGGGGGGGTGGGAGGAGGAGGAGGAGGAGGAGGAGGAGGAGGAGGAGGAGGTAGGAGGAGGAGGAGGAGGAGGAGGAGAGGAGGAGGAGGAGGAGGAGGAGGAGGAGGAGGAGGAGGAGGAGGAGGAGGAGGAGGAGGAGTAGGAGGAGGAGGAGGAGGAGGAGGAGGAGGAGGAGGAGGAGGAGGAGGAGGAGGAGGAGGAGGAGGAGGAGAGGAGGAGGAGGAGGAGGAGGAGGAGGAGGAGGAGGAGGAGGAGGAGGAGGAGGAGGAGGAGGAGGAGGAGGAGGAGGAGGAGGAGGAGGGGGGGCAGGAGGTGGAGGAGAAGGAGGAGGAGGAAGAGCATTAAACACAAAGCATTCGGCAGAACTGGCAGGGCCCAAGTGCCAGCCTGGCCGCGCACGGCGCGCCGGCCACGGGGGAAAAGGACATTCCGGACTGGGGGGGTCCCCCGACTGAGCCTCCCAGGGACTTCCCTTCTTTTGGCAGTGGGGCCCGTGGCAGGCATTCGAACTTCAGGTTTCGAGCGCTGGTGGCCCCGGGCGCGCCGCGTTCCCTGCGAAGCAAAACTTGATTCAACGGTCGGAGCTGATGGGAGGCGCGGCCAACTGGAGCAAGGAGATGGAACGACGCGTCGCTGCAATCCCCCCCCCCTTTGGTCGCACTCGGCCTTCACCGTGAGGTTCGAGTAGATGCCCGAACTGTGATTCTTGGCGCGGCTCAGGCTTGAAAAAGAGAGAGGGGTCCTCGGAAACAGAACTTGGCAGAACATATACTACCCTTGAGCGAAATCTTCAACGCGACAGGGCTAAGCTGCTGCTCGCGCACACGTTCAACGTGCGTGCGCAAACTGCTGGCAGGGCCACGTGCGTGCGCATGCTCGTGCTCAACGCGCGCGCGTGCGCGCGCGCTCCCGCTTGCATGTCGTGAACGCATCTCTTTGAACAGCTAAAGTCCCAGCGAAACTATTGAGATTGACTTGGTCCTCTTCGGTGGTGCTGCTGACCAGCCCACCTGTAACCGCCCCTCCCCTGGCTGCTTGAGCGGCCAACCCGTCGGCCACAGCATTCAACAAACGTTCGCTACGAGTAAGATCCAGGTGCTCAGACCTGGAAAGCCGAGGGATGTAATTTGGTTCGCCTCAAGTCAACACCTCCTTCCCTGCGACTCCAGGATCCCCCGCGGCTCCACCCGCACATCCAGCATCTCAGACTCTTGTTGCAGTTCCTTCTGCCTCCGAAACCTTCGGACCACGTGCGCGTCGTCGGGTCGCGCCAGAACGCTGCCAGTGGTGTGCTTCAGCGCCGTGATAGAGGCCGGCAGCTCGGCCCGCGGGGAACGTCGATGTTCTCCCGAGGGGGGGGGGGGGCGGCGAGGGGGCCGGCCGCGTCGGCGAGGGGGGGGCCCAAGCGGGCGCTCGCCCAGCTGCATCGCCTCGGCCTCCAATCCTCCGTGTGTTTTCCCCCCCTCGACCCGTCGATCCCCCGGGCCCCCCCAGGCGCGACCGGCCCCTCCTGGGGGGCTCCGCCGTGCCAGATCAGATCAGCGGGCGTCTGGAGATGGCCAGCCGCACAACATTTTGGGCATCGGCCCGCGGCGCCACAGAGCAGGACAGGAAAGACCCTCTTCCAGTGCGCGAGCGCGTAGAGGCTGGGGGCGCTCCACAGCTGGAGAGGGGGGGCTGCCGTCGGTCTCGCGTTCCCAGTAACGACGAAGAGGCGTTTCAGGTGCCCGTCCACATCTCGGGCATGTACCACTCGAGGAAGTGTCGATTCCATTTTCATGCAACCGCATGTCCGTTCAGAAACCGCCAATCATGGTATTTCGAACGATCCTCTGGCCCTCATGACCAACATTCCAGAAAATCTTCGACAACCAAGAGTGAACACAAGGTGAATTAATTGTGTCCTGAAATCCCATCCCCAAGGTAATGTTGGGTAGCAGCTCCCCGCGCGCCACCGTCGATGGTCTCCTCGAGGTATCCCCGCATCTTGAACGGAAAATCAGGTGCGTCAACATGGCTGGCGCCTCCGTCAGGAACAACCCAAACACTTGGGGGCAGGCGCCCATTCTAAATCAATGAAGACAGCGACCGCGGCGGCCACAGGGCCTCGAACCCGGCGCCGCGTGCGACCTGGCGCCATGCAAGCAAGCTCGCGAACACGACCGCTCCACAACCGAGATATCCTCATCTTGGCCTTGGGGTCCGAGCTTGACCGGAGCTTTTGGAAACTGAGGAGTTGCTCGCGCCGCAGACGGCGAGCAGGATCAGCAGACTCGGCCTTCAGGATAGACGACAGCGTAGTCGTGCAGGACCCGGGGCCCCACCACCCCGAGCATTTGGCAGCCTGGGCGCGGGCCGAACGGACCCGGAGAGGCGACGGCCCCAAAACATTGTGCCCACAGGAGGAAACCGATAGCACCCCATGCATGTGGAGCTTCGAAGCCCGTTTGCGGATATCGGTGAGGTACTTGCCTTCCTTTTTTTCCTTTTGGCCTTAGTCCCCCGAGTCGGCAACAACGTGCCGCGCCTACTTTTGCAAGCCGTAGTGGCAACTCAAAAGTCACGGGCCGAGTCGTGGACCTTCAAAGAGGTCCCGATAGCTTGGAGCTGCTGAGCAGTGCGAGGACTATCGGCACGTTCGCATTGCTACTCGTGATAGCAGCATGCGCAGGCGCAAGCTGCCAACTCCGTGCGCCAACGGAACAGCGGCAGGGACAAAAGCGCGAAACCCGTCTCCAACATCCTGGGAGAGACGTGGATCATCGAGCCCGTGTGCATCACGTGTGGGGGTGGGGGGGTGGGGGGGCGCGCAAATCATGGCCGCGCTTGACAAGCAAGACTGGCGACGTCGTGTCAAACGCACTTGCGCAAGTCCCAGTGCAAGGCGACATAGGCGCCGCCCTCGAAAGCGGCGAGCTCGCGGGGGAATTTTCGCCTCGAAGCTGCCTGCAGGGCGGAGCTTCTTCGGATGTCGGTTCCCCGAAAGGCAGCGGAGTCTCGACTCCAACCGTCGAGGAAGGAACCCTCGATTTTGGTGTAGACCCTATAGAAGGTGGGATGCATGCGGGTCTTTCAGCAACCTTGCTATTAGGGGGGAGAGAAATTGAGCTCTGGGGGATCTGCTCTGGCCAGATCAGGGCCTCCCCGCGCCGCGCCTCCTGTGCAACTGGACGAGGGCTTCCAACGCGCCGGGCTGAACTTTCACGAACTCCCTAGGCTTCCAGTGGTCAACTCCCGCAGCAGCACCCTCAGAGACAAGCCTGTGCGCGGCGAGCACATCACGAGCCTCGCTGTCTGGGAGATCTGGCTGGGCCTCAGCGGCACACCTGCGGAGCTCATTCACATCTTCACTTAGCCCAGCATTTTGCCTAGAGCCATCGGCCCACAATCTCCTTCAAACTTGGCCCGATGGGCCATCGTCTCACCAGGCAGCTGCAGGGCCCCGCTGGGTGCCCGACAGGAACTCGAGGGGGCCCACTTCATTTTTTAATGCACCCGTGTGCCTTCTTGGTCCCCCATTGGCAGGGTCTTGAGAAGCCGCTCCTTAACCGCCTGCGCAGAGTTCGCGCGAGCATCGGGCCATGTCTTCCCGAGCGCATCTGCGCACACGGAGACAGAGATGTCACATAGATCGATGCTGAGTGCCGAGCGGCCAGCTTCCATCTGGGTCAGCTGAGCCTGCCGCGCCTGAGCTGTCTGCGTGGGGAGCAGACAGGCAGAATATGGTTCGGCAGATTGGCCAATGTAGGGATCTTGACGCGATCAACATTTAACCATTTTACTGTGCCCGTGCTCCAGGGCGGCTCGACGTCCGTGCCGCTTCTGGGGCAGGTGCGACCAGAAACGCAGCGCGGTGTCCGAATGCGCTTTTCCGCGCCCATTGTTAGAGCTCAGCGTAGTACGCAAATCTGACCCATCACGCATACTGCTCAAACTCACGTTCATGCCCATGGCTATCCCCTAGTGCTAAACTCTCTGAAGCACGAGGCCACAGCAAGTGAGTATTAGTTAGCTTGTCGGAAATGTGCCGCGGGGAACAAGCCGAATTCCAGGATTCCGAACCAGTGGGGGCCATTCTCGAGAAACCTTTTCCAGGTGCCGAATCCGTCGAAGCTCAGGTCCACAAATAACAGGAACAACTCTGGGCTTGCGACGCTTGGTCATCTCCTGTAGCAGAGCTTTGTGTGGCAGCACTACCTTCAAACATGCATGTGTCTTGAAAGGCGAACTCTCGTACTTCGAGGCCCTTGAGAATGGCGCGAGGGTCTCAGACGCAACAACATCATCAATCATCGAGCCCTTCCTTGCGAGCACGTGTAAGCAACGCCTGCAGGAGGAATAGCACAAGCAGGAGTCATCTTCAGGAGTGCACCGAACACTCCAAGAAGGGGCTGGAGGTTGGATAATCTCCAGAGAATTGCACGGTTTTTTCCCAGGCTACAAGAGTCCAGCGGCCCCCGTTTTGGAGGCTGCCACCTTCCGTATTCGGCGCGACCAGGCGCGTCGGATGGTTCCAGGTGCCTTGTAGGTTCCTAGGCCGCGTGGACTGGCGCCCAGGAGACTCCAGAACACTCCTCCTCCATCTTGTAACGTTGGAGCTGGAATGCTGAAGCGTTCTTCTCCTCCTCGTCCTCCTCTCCAACTCCTCCTCCTCCTGCTCCTCCTCCTCCTCACCCTCCTCCTCCTCCTTCTCCTCCTCTTTCTCCTCCTCCTCCTCCTCGTTGTTATGTTGGACAATCTTAAAGCTGAAATGCTGGATCATCCTCCTTTTCCTCCTCCTCGTCCTCCCTGTCCTCCTCGTCCTCCTCCTCCTCTTCCCTCTCCTCCTCTTCCCTCTCCTCCTCATCTTTCTCTTTCTCCTCCTTCCTTTTACGTTGGACAAACTTAAAGCTGGAATGCTGGAGTGTCCTCGTTCTTCTCCTCCTCCTCCTCATCTTCCTCCTCCCCCTCAATTCCACCCCCAATCATCGCAGCGATCACAACTCACAACGATCACAACGATAGCGATCACAGAGATCATTTTGATCGTTCTTGTTACCGTTGCTATCGTTATCGCTGCTTCCGTTGCCTGGGGCCCGAGGCCCTTTCTTGCGCTCGCGATCTGCTCGCGCCGCGCCGTCGCGCCGCGCCGGCGCTGCGGCGACCCCGGCGCGGGCGTTCAGCGTTGAAGGCCGCCACAATGTGTCAGCCTCGCGCAGAGGGGATAGGCAGGGGGGATGCTTCTCACAAGCACCCTTGTCCTGCTTCTTAAGAGGGCGCGGGCCTGATCTATAGGTGCAAGATCGGCGCCTTCTGAGAAGCAGGCTCCTCCTACGATGTTTTCCCCCCTGCCACTTTGTGGCGCCGCCAAATTTCTGAACCGGCCGATATCGAAAGAGCGGCGCAATGTTGGCAGCGCGCATAAGGGGGCAGGAGGAGGGGGGAAGGCTTCTTAGAAGCGCCCCTGGTTCTCAGAGGGCGCGGGTCTTCTCAATAGGTGTAAGACCAGCGCCTGCTAAGAAGCAGCCTCCTTCTCAGAAGCCTTTCCCCCTCCCCCTGCCCCCGTGTGTGCGCCGCCAATCGCCAACAATCTGCGATCGCTCGAGGCTCAGCGATCCACGCGGTGGCGGGGACTATCGCAGAAGCCGCCACGGCACGAGCCGGCCGCCGCCGGCCCCAGGAGAAGCACCTGCGGAGGGCCCACGTGGAGCTCTTCGAGCCGCTGCGCAGGAAGGCCCAGGAGCGAGTCGGACGAGACGGGGGGAATAGGGAGAAGGCTTCCTTCGCGTCCAGGAAAGATCTCGACAGGGGGTTTTTGGGCAGGTTTCTGCCTCTGGGGCTCGTCACCAGGCCCCGGGGCCGACACAAAATGATGAGAAGTAGGGCCCAGGGAATGAGGTCCAGACCTCCTTAACCTCCGTGGGTCGACGTACAACATAAAACCTCCCCGAAACGTACCCAACCCCTTCTCCACGCGAGGCGAGCATGTGCATGAACGCTCCAAACAATCTCCGCCGTGCCTCCCACAGGCCTACAAAAGTGGCGACACTTGCTTTCTTCGTAGTCTCCCAGGGAGCCGCGAGGTCTTGGCTGGATCCGTGTGGCCCCCGACTCCGCTAGACCTCCCAGGCGCCCACGAAAATGAAGACAATTACGCAGTTCGCAGCCTCCCATTGAGCAGCGAGGTTTCGTCCGGGTGCGAGTGGCCCCCAACTCCGCTGGACCTCCCAGGAGCCCACGAAAGTGGTTACAATTGCGCAGTTCGCAGACACCCAGGGAGCGCGAGGTCTCGGCTGGGTGCGCGCGGCCCCCGATTCTGCTGGACCTCCCAGGAGCGCGCCACAGTGCAGCCACCCATGGAGCAGCGAGGTCCCGTCTGGGTGCGCGCGGCCCCCGATTCCGCTTGATCTCCCAAAAGCGCGCCAGAGTGACGACAATTGTACAGCTCGCAGCCACCCAGGGAGGAGCAAGGTCCCGTCTGGGTGCGCGTACGCTCCTACTCCGCCGTGCCTCCCATGAGCCCACGACAGTGGCGACAGTTGGGCAGTTCGCAGACACCTAGGGAGCAGCGAGGTCCCTTCTGGGTGCGCGTGGTCCCCGACTCGGAAGTGGCGACAGGTGGGCAGTTCGCAGCCGCCTAGGGAGCAGCGAGGTCCCGTTTGGGTGCGCGTGGTCCCCGACTCCGCTGCCTCCCAGGAGCCAACGAATGTGGCGACAATTGTACAGTTCGCAGCCACCCAAGGAGCTCCGAGGTCTCGTCTGGGTGCGCGTGCTCCGCGACTCCCGCCGTGCCTCCTGGGAGCCCACGAAAGTGGCGACAATTGTACAGTTCGCAGCCGCCCAGGGAGTAACGCACGAGGACGCGGAAGGAGGGAGAGCAGGATGAAAATGCGGATGCCGCAGTGTTCTGTTCAAAACAGAATCCGAACACGGGAGGGTTGGGGACCACAGAAGGGGTGAGTTAGGTCGTGTAAGTTGTGCGGTGCAATCTGTGTGGTGCAAGCTCATGGCACGGGGCGCCCACGAGCGCCCACGAGCACGGGCGCGACGTGGCGCAACCTCGGCAATCGCCCCTCTGCGCACGGGGCACCCACGAGCGCCCACGAGGCACGTGGCGCACGCAACCTCGGCCGGCGAACCCCCGCCAGCGCACGGGCACGGACGGCCACGTGGCGGAAGCTCGGAGCTCTCAAGCAGATGCCTACGCAAGCCAAGTGGTGCGTGGGGATGCACCACAGCGCCATGCACGCACGCATCAGGCCGCGCCGAATCGTCGGAATAACTCGAGACCGAATCGGATGGAGCCGGCCGGAAACGATATCGAACCGGGTCGGTAGGATCGGCATGGACCTTGGGAGGCACGACGCCACCGAAACAGTCACGACGCAAGAGGGGGGCATCACCAACTTGTGGTTGCCGCACCACTTATGAGAGTGTTTTTTGTTACCCTGTGGGCCATAATTCGCGTTATGCCCCCTCCCCTCCAGATCCGATGGCAGCGCGCTCGCTCGCTCGCTCGCCCTCCCCCCCCCCCCCTCCCCTCCCATACCGTGACGTTCCCCACCTCAGTGCGTCCCCGGCACTGCCACAGTGCGTCCGACACCACGGTTGGAGGGGGGCTGGCCGCGTAAAAAGAAATGCGTTCTATCTCAGGAGGGGAAATAACACAGACACTAATAATCGCCGATTCTGGGGAAAAAGCAGGGGAAGTAGATGGGGAAGACGAACATCCTGAAACTATGGAACATATGGGGAATCCTGGGATTTGTGTCCATTTAGTTGTGTGCCCCATGGGCCCCTTCATTATCGGGCTGGAGCGTTCCGCGGCGGCCCCCGGGGCCCGAGGCAGGGCATCAAGGCCAGGCGCAGCTCGAACCCTGCGGGATGCAGTGGGCTGCGGCCCCGCCGCCCAGCGTGTTCCTCCATGCATGGGCGCTCTCCGGGTCCGGGAGGCGCCACGAGAACCAGCTCGGCCACGCGCGGTGGGGGGGTATGGGGGAGGGGGGGGGGGAAGGCTTCTCAGAGGCACCCCTGCTTCTCAGAAGGCGGGGATCGGCGCGGGCCTTGTCTGACGATGCAGGGCCAGCGCCTCCCACGAAGCAGGCCCCCTCCCCCTACCCCCTTGCGCGCGCCGCCAACCAGCAGCATGCCTGGCGCCGCCTCTGGCGGCGCCCCTGAGGCGCTCCGCATCCCAGCGACGGGGTGTTGAGACCGCCCCGGACTACTGGGGGGGCCTGTTGAGGCCAATTGGGGCTACTCGGGGACCTTCTGAGGCCAGCTGGGACTGCCTCTGGAGGGGGCTGTCTGTGCGCGCTAAGTACATACTAACTATACATCACTGCTTTCTGAAGAAGAAACTTATCCCAGTGCGACCCTACCTAGAAGTTGGAGCCCCCAGGAAAGCAGCATTAGTTGCTATGCTATGCTGTGCTATGCTATGCCATGCTATTCTGCGCTATGCTATGCTACGCTATGCAATACTATGCTGCGCTATGCTATGCAATGCTATGCTATGCTAAGCTAAGCTATGCTATGAAATGCTGCGCTGTGCTATGCTAAGCTATGCTATGCTAAGCTGCGCTATGCTATGCTCTGCGATGCTATGCTATGCTATGCTATGCTGCGCTATGCTATGCTATGCTGTGCTATGCTATGCTATGCTATGATGTGCTGCGCTATGCTGTGCTACGCTATGCTATGCTATGCTGTGCTCTGCTATGCTAAAGCTCAGCGAAGCTAAGATGAAGGTAAGCTAAGCTAAGATAAAATTGAGCTAAGATGAGGCTAAGCTAAGCTAAGATGAAACAAGCTAATATAACATGAGATAAGCAACGCTAAGCTAATGGGACGTAACTGGGGGAACCGCGGGGCGGATCCTGGGGGAACCGCCCGGGGCGGGGGGCACTGCCCAGCCCCTTTAAGCAAACACAGTAAGAACCCTTCTAGGCAGAGCCTAGGTAGGGAAAGAAACATAAACGGCAACAATATATTGTTTCTCATGCGATCCAAGAAATCCTCGTGGACCTCGTGCAATTTATGCTCATGCCGTTTTGCGTTCCTTCAGTGCAGATGATTGTGGCCAGCTTCTAATATCAAACACCTGCAGCTCTCCAAGGAGCTATCCGGAGAACATCCAGATAGCAAAGCAGTCTTCCGCCTGGCACGAGCCAAAGTGCAGTCCTAACCTCGGATAGTGTTCGTAACTCTCGTTACCCGGCCAAACACCTTGGTAACGCTAACGATCGTACCAGGCGGGGAGGCCTGGACCCCCCCCAGCTACGGGGCGGACTGTGCTCACAGGCAGGATATGGTGCTGAAAGGCATGCTTGGTGCTCATAAGCGTGAATTGGCGCTCGCAGGCTACCCACCTGTTGCGGCGCCGAGCTCACAGGCATGGCGTGGTGTCGAACGGCATGTTTTGGTGCTCACATGCGTGTTCCTGCTGTTCGTCCTGTTGTTCCTCCTGCTGCTCCTCCTGTTGCTGCTCCGCTTGCTCCTGCTGCTGCTCCTCACTCTGCTCCGTATTCCCCTCCCTCAACGAAGGCCGCCAGGACCGTTGAAAGAGAAGAGGAAGAGGACAGGGAGGAGGAGGTGCAGGAGGAGGGAGTGGAGGAGGTGGAGGAGAAGGAGATGAATGACGAGTCCTGAAGGCCTCCTTGGTCGGTGGCGAGCCCCGCAAGGAGGCCTCGCAAGCTACTCATGTGCTCGTTGGCACGTTTGGCGTTCTGGTGTGCACAAGCGTTGTGTTGCACGGAGGCATTCTGGCGTGCGTAGGCACTGCGGTACACACGGTCGCTGTGGTGTACATAGGCGCTGTGATGTACACAGGTGCTCTGGTGCACGCAGGCAACGAGGTTTACCCAGGCGCTGTTGCGAACGCGGTTCTTGCAGTTTGCACAGGCACTGCGGTCTGCATAGGCGACGTGGTGCTGCTGTGCACGCGGTTGTTGTGGTGTCGGAGGCAGTGCAGTGTACACAGGCGGCGGTGTGTTGCACGCAGGCATTCGGCATTTTCGTGTGCGCAGGGACTGTTGGTGCACACGGGCGATTGGTGCGCCGGTGGCGCGGACGCACCCTGGCGGGTGGACGCCGCGGCCGCCGTTACTGTGACCTTCTCGCCCTCCCCCCCAGGGTAACGACCGTTACCCCAGAGGGAGAAGAAACGCTCACATAGCGAGGCGGCACAGGAGCTTTACGAAGGTCCCTCGAAGGAGTTTGAGTTGCTCCACGCGGGCGTCGCCGATGCGTCGCCGACGTCGCCGATGCATCGCCGATGCGTCTCCGATACATCGGCGATGCGTGGCGCGATCCTCCGACCTCACCTACTCCAAGGGCTCCCTCGAGGGCGCGAAGTTATTCGCGCTTCGCGCTTCGCGGTCCTCGTTCCTTCTCCTCCTCCTCCTCCTCGTCCTCCTATTCTCCCTTTGGGAGGGCGGCGCGAGAGCGCGAAGTTATTCGCGCTTCGCGCTTCGCGCAGCGCGAAGCGCGAAGTTGGGAGCCCTAGTACTCGGACGCCATCTGCGAGATCTCTGTTTTCGGAGGACGGCCCTCTGACCACCCCACCGATCCTGGCCGGGCGCATCCTGGGCCCAGGATGGGTGCCCCCGCCCCCCTGGGCCGGGCCGGGGAGTGCACGGGCGCGGATGCCCCTGGCTCGGGAAACTCCTCCATGGGATCCCAGGGGATCCTATGGGATCCCCCCCCTGGGATCCTATCCCCCCATGGGATCCCCCCCCATGAAGAGTCTCCCGACTGGCCCAGGGCATCGGCCCGGCCAGGAGCGGTGGGGTGGTCAGTCCGAAGGCCTCCTCCGGCATGAGTTTGGCAGTCCTCGGCGGCGAGCATTCTGCGTGTCTGCTTCGCAGAGAGGGTGCCGCCGCCAAATCCCAGTGTTCACCTCCGGGAAAGCCCTGGCCTCGCAGGCGCACAGGTGAGCACACACATGGTGCAGCCCTGGGGGCATCCGCGGGGTAGGCGACCAGCTTGCGCCAAGCAGGCTGGACACCCGAGATGGCATTTGAGTTTGAGGACACAGCGAGAGGGCCGATGCCGCCCCGGAGGGGGTCGGCCCCGCGAGGAAGAGCCGCGCTCCGCCCCGCCTGCTGCGGGCAGGGCGTGTGCCCACGTCCGCTGCAGCGTGGAGTTTCGGGCTCCCTCCCCGGAGTCGGCGGCGAGCGAAAGGGGGAAGCGAGACGGAGAAGGCCTTCTCAGAAGGCGGCGGAACTTCTCAGAGGCCCTCGCGCCTTCTGAGGAGTTCTCTGTGCCGTCGGGAAAGGCGCTCAGAAAACTTCTCAGGAGGCCAGGATGCCCGCCCCTTCTCACTTCCCTCCTCTGGGCTCGCCGCCGACATGCGCGGCCCCAAAGCTCCCGACCCCTTCTCTGGGTGTGGTTTTGCGCCCAGGTCAGTTTTCGGAGGACCCCAGGGCCCGTCACTGGTGGGCCCTGGAGGCCAGAACGCGAGGGAAAGCGCAGGGGCTGAACAACTACCCATCGGTCGTTGAAAGTAGGTATTTTTGGAGTCCCAGGTCCCAATCTACTTCAGCCGCCTTCCAACTTAAAGAGTCGAGTGGTTTTCCCTCGTCTCTACTCTTCATGAGGCGGGCGGAAACACAATCTACTTCCAACGCCTTCCTGCTTCATGTGTTGTACCTACTTCTTCCGACCGATGGGTATCTTGTCGGAGATCTGGGTTTGCTATCCCCTCCCTTCGCCCCCTTCCCCCGCCCCCCCCCGGCAGGAGGAGGCGATGTGCCGGGCGTTCAGTGCACATTGCTAGGGCTATAACTGAAAGGCCGCTTTCCTTTCACTCTGGGTATGTTAGTATGACCTAACAGTTTTACTTTTTCTAGCTTTAGGCTGCGTTGGGCGGAAGGCGGCCGTGATGTCGGCCAGGCGCGCCGCTTCTTTGAAGGGCAGCCGTGGAGCGGTCTACGGCGCTGTGTACTTCCAGCAGGTGATCTTCTGGCGGTGGTGGCGAGGAAGAAGGAGGAGAGAGGAAGGGGCGAGGAGGGAGGAGGCGAGGAGGAGGGGGATATCGCGGGCGGCCAAGATGGCGGTAGTGGCTAGGGTCTAGGGGGTGATGACTAAGACGGATGGATGGGCTCGGGGGGAGGTTTTCGAGGATCGAGGTTTTCTGACCTTTCCGTCGGTTCTCGTGGGCTTTCCAGCCTCTGGATGCCTCGCCGAGAGCTTTCTTGGGATGCCTGGATCGTCCCGAAGGGCCGCCAGAGAGCTGAGTTATGACCCGAGGGGCAGGGGGCGGAGCAAGGGGCGGATATGCTAAGGGGGGAATGGATCGACCCCTCAATCGCCCATTGATCGCCGACAGGGGCCCGATAGCCCACCCCGTCCAGGAACGTGCGGATACACTATCGGAAGCCTACCGGCGATGTATCGCCGATGCAACGTCGAGTACTGCTTCCCCCCCCTAGCTGGTCCCCCTTCTTGTACGTTCCAGGAGGAGGAAGAAGAAGAGGAGGGGGAGGAGGAGGAGGAGGAGGAGGAGGAGGAGGAGGAGGAGGAGGAGCAGGAGCATGAGTAGGAGGAGGAGCAGGAGCAGGAGCAGGAGCAGGAGCAGGAGCAGGAGCAGGAGGAGGGGGATGTGGAGGAGGGGGAGGAGGACGAAGACTAAAACGAAGGACGAATAATATTTACAAAACAATAATACGAATGTTATTCGTCATAATATTAATAACGCTTGTAATTAACCTATTAGTGATACGAATGAAACTGGTAAGGCTAATTGCAACACGAAAACAAAGCGAATCACACTAATAATTTTATTGCAACGACTACAACTACTACGAATAATACCAATCATACGAACACTCTTATTTGCAATATGGATAATAATAAGAAGAGTACGATTCATATTAACACGACTACTGCTAATAATGAGAACAGTGAGACTATGCATCACACTAATCCGTTACATACTTATACAAAACATTCTATTAACAAAACGAATACTACGTATACCAAGAATACTAATAAGAGGCGGAGGAGGAAAATGAGGAGGAGGAGGAGCAGGAACACGAGCAGGAGCAGGAGCAGAAGCAGGAGCAGGGGTAGGAGGAGGAGGATGAAGACGAGGACGAAAAGGAATACTAATAAGACTGATAGGACGAAGCATAATAAGCGTACTAACAATACTAATACTAACATATTAATAACATTGATGTTAGTAATACTACTGATTTTACTATTCATACGAATAATATGAAGAGTGGTAATAAGACTGAGGAAACGAATTATACCACTATTAGTGATACGAGTGTAATACTATTAGTAATCGTGCTAGTAATACTGATAGTGTCAAGAAGAAACATAATAATACGACGAATGACACTTTTTCCTTCCGATGACTGAGAACTCAGATAACCTTCTTGGCACAATAACTATGGCGTAATAAAACCAATAATAATGATACTAAGAAGAAACATACTATGGTTTACTATCAATGAAAACTATAATACCAAGGGAGGAGGAGGATGAGGAGGAGGATGATGAGGAGGAGTAGGAGGAGTAGGAGCAGGAGCAGGAGCAGGAGCAGGAGCAGGAGGAGGAGGAGGAGGAGGAGGAGGAGGAGGAGGAGGAGGAGGCGGAGGCGGCGGCGGCGGCGGAGAGGAGGAGGTGGTGGCGGCGGCGGTGGGGGGCGGCGGCGCCGGCGCCGGCGCCCGCAGGAGGAGGAGGAGGAGGAGGAGGAGGAGGAGGAGGAGGAGGAGGAGGAGGAGGAGGAGGAAGAGAAGGAGGGCCGACGGAGGCGACAGGCTAGCCGCCGTGGCCCACCCCAGTTGCCACTCCTCCGCTTGTGGGCGAATTCGCTGTCGCGGCCGCGCGCGCGGGGTCCTGCGAGGGTGTTCTGCCCTGCCACCGCGGCTGCGCTGTTCCTTGACGTCTGGAAAGATCCCGCGTCCTGCGGGCACGCATGCCCGCATGCCCTCCTTCTCCTCCTCCTCCTCCTTCTCCTCTCTTCCCCTCCCTCCCTCCCTCCCTCCCTCCTCCCTCCTCTCCTCCCCTCCCTCCTCCCTCCTCCTCCCCTCTTCCCTCCACCTCTTCCTCCTCCCCTCCCTCCTTTCCTCCTCTTGCCCCTCCTCATGCTGCTGCTTCCTCCTCCTCCTCGTCCTTCTTCCCGCCCCTCCTCTCTCTCGTCCTCCCCATGCTGCGTTGAGCGGACTTCAGCATTAGAGCTGTAGCGTTCCTCCTCCTCCTCCTCCTCCTCGTCCTCCTCCTCCTCCTCCTTTCCTCTCCTCTCCTCCCTCCTCCTCCTCCTCATCCTCCTCCTCCTTCTCTCCCTCCTTTCCCTGCTTCTACTCCTGCCTCTCCCTCTGACTCAAACAGGATGTTCCGCTGCCCTCTGGCTCAAGCTCCAGAGCTACATACGTTTATTGATGCTATAGAAAGGTGTTTTTCCCAACCTGAGCTCTGCCTAGAAGGGTTCTTACTGTCGTCGCTTACAGGGCCGGGCAGTGGAAACCGACCCGGGCGGTTCCCCCGGTCCCCTGGGAGCGGTTCCCCCAGTCCCCTGGGAGCTTTAGCTTTAGCTTTGGCTTTAGCTTAGCTTTAGCTTGGCTTTAGCTTAGCTTTAGCTGAACTTTAGCCTAGCTTTAGCTGAGCTTTCGCTTAGCTTTAGCTTAAATTTAGCTTAACTCTAGCTTAGCTTTAACTTAACTTTAGCTTAACTTTAGCTTTGCTTTAGCTTATATGTACCTTAGCTTTAGCTTATATTTAGCTTAGCTTAGATTTAGCTTAGCTTTAGCTTAGTTTTACCTTGGCTTTGTATTAGCTTTGACTTAGCGTTAGCCTAATTTTATCATAGCTTTAGCTTAGATTTAGCTTAGCTTTAGCTTAGTTGTAGCTTAGCTTTAGCTTAGGACTAGCTTAGTTTTAGCTTAGCTTTAGCTTAGCTTTAGCTTAGATGTCGCTTAACTTTAGCTTATATTTAGCTTAGCTTTAGCTGAGCTTTATCTTAGCTTCAACTTAGCTTTAGCTTAGCTTTAGCTTTAGCTTAGCTTTACTCTTACTACTAATGCTGCTTTCCTAGGTAGGGTCGCACTGGGATATTTTTTCACAGCATCTCATGGCACCTATCGTTGTTACCACTGCCAGTCCCGCAAGTTTAGTTGGTAGCGGAGCTGGCAGCAGCTTGTTGTGATCTACTGAATTGGCGCAGGTGCGCTGTGGACGCACATACTCGCTTTCCTCCAACTTCACTTTGGATCGATTTCTACTCCCTGAGCATATGGTGTTTGAGGATGTTCTGAAGCCCCGGGATTACCGTCTTCACGATGCGAGATGCACACCCCCAGTCAATTCGCAGTGGCAGCGCGCTGACTGGATGAGGTCCAAGCCGTAACAGGACATCGGAGCGCGCGCACCCAGCTGCATTGTTAACCCTTGCGGACCCGGCGGAGGAGTCAATCCCATGTTGCGTCACGACGGTAATCGCTCCCAGCAGCGCAAGCATTGGTCGCGCTCACCGATGTGTCGGCGCTGGCCTCAAATGCTTGGGTTCGAGCTGTGCGCAGCAGTGCTGGCTTGCATCCCGGGGAGCACACCGCACACGCCGCGCGACTTGCAGCAAGGTGTGCTTCCACCTCACACCTCACTGCCCTTGGCCGCCGCCAAGGGCACAGGCAACAATATGGCTACGTCAGGCACCAAGCTGGTCCTCGTCCCTCTGCCAGCCCGAGTCTCAAGGCGTTTGCAAAGCTCTGATCGTGGCGGAGCCTTTGGGAGGCTCACCAGCGGGGGCACGATCCCGGATCGGTCCTGTTCGACGGCGATTCTGGCGTTCTGGCCAGCTCGGATCCGACTCGATTTCGATGCTCCGACGATGCAGTGCGGCCCGAGGTTCGAAGTGGCGCTGTGGTGCGCCCTGGCGCGGCTTGTGCGATTCGACTTCCGCTCCGTGCCGCTGCACCCTGATCCGATGCGCGTTCCGATCCGATCCGATCTCCCTGTTCGATGCCGACTGCTCCTGGGAAGCGGCCAGCGGAGGTTGGCCGACGAGACCTGCGCACATCCACCGCCCAGGGCCAGGGGTCTAGGATGGGCCCAGGATCGGTGCACACCCGTACTTGTCCAATCCGGGGGTGAGAAATGGGGTCCCGAGGTTTCTCGCCACGTTCGAGCTCGTTGATCGAAGATGCCTACGGCGAATCACCGCCGCCCCCTGCCTTTCGGAATCGCCAGTGTGGCCGAGCGTTATGGCAAGAGCTCTGCCAAGCTATCGGGCCATGTGCTCCCCCAGCCCTTGTAGAAACCCTTCGGGGAACACTTTGGGGAGTCTGGCAGGGAAGATCAGGATGATGATTATGATACTGATGCTGATGATAATGATGATGATGATGATGATGATGATGATGATGATGATGATGATGATGACGATGATGCTGATGATGATGATGATGATGCTGCTGATGATGATGATGATGCTGATGATGATGATGATGATGATGATGATGATGCTGCTGCTGATGATGATGCTGATGATGATGATGATGCTGATGATGCTGATGCTGCTGATGATGATGATGATGCTGCTGATGTTGCTGATGATGATGATCATGCTGATGCTGATGATGCTGATGCTGATGCTGATGCTGATGATACTGATGATGCTGATGATGCTGATGATGCTGATGATGATGATGACGATGCTGATGATGATGATGATGATGATGATGATGATGATGATGATGATGATGATGATGATGATGATGATGATGATGATGATGATGATGATGATGATGATGCTGATGATGATGATGATGA